GTTACTACTAGTAAGGCACTTGTTACTACTAGCGTGGCACTTGTTACTACTAGCTTCTTGTTACTACTAGTAAGGCACTTGTTACTAGTAGCGGTGCACTTGTTCCTAATAGCTTCTTGTTACTAAGGCAGGAGGGCTGTGATGGCAAACTGTGGAGACTGGCAGCTGCAAGAGTTGTGGAGGACCGAAGAGAAGACATCACATTTGAAATCTCACAACCGCTCTACCGCGTTCTTGCTACAAGTGGCTTAGTAGCTGTTTCTTTCTCTATTTTTCTCATATATCTATATTCTATATATTACATTACATCTTAGTGCTCTTATTATGCCATCTCCAGTCACTCCTTTGCACTCTTAACTTGGAAAAAAAACTCGTTTGACCGGTTGCTTTCAGGACCGAGCCGCCCGACAGAAGGCGAGGCCCTCAAGTTTCGGAGACTGTGACCTTGCACGGGAAACAAAGCGTGTCCAGGGACGTGTTTTTTTTGGTATGTTTTTGCACGAATCAATATGTACCATGTATATATATATATTTATTTTTTTCCGGTGTATATGGCTTTTGAATTTGATGAAGTTACCTAATGTGTTTGCACTCCAATCGATTCCAAATTCAATCCAATCATGCCTTTAAGCCCCCGCAGTAAATGCAACGTAATGCAACTCAGGTTGATATAATCGTTCTTCACGCGCGAATCAGGTTTTCAGTGCAACTCACAATGTTGATTCTCTAAAAGTCATCAATTCAAGAGGGGAGTGGAGTCGCCCCTGTGCAGGTGAATTTGCAAGTGCTGGATGGGGAGATTGAAACCGAGGAGGATACGAGGCCGGAGGAACATGAGGTAACGTGAGACATGAGACCTACTAGGAACAAGGACGCTACTAGGGGCTCCTGGCCTTACTACTAGGAACAAGAAGCTACTAGCAACAAAGGGCATCGCTAGTAGGAGCAAGGGCGCTACTAGGGCTTCCAACCTACTAGCGATGGCCTCCACCTAATAGCAATGGGGTAACGTGAGGCGCCCAATGCCAGAGACTGTTGACACGGGTGTCCGTCCAAGCAGTGAGAACCGACTGGCTTCGAACCTGCAGAGAGCTTTGTACCAATCCAACACAAGCGCCATTGAGCCAGATGAGCAAAATGTAAGCATGTATATTTTGGGCTTTCAGATTCAGTATGATTCAGTGTTTCCATGTTTGTCAGGCTTCCTCAAAGTGTTGCAGCCTTTGACACGCCGCAGAGAACCTTGCTGTCGCCACTCTATTTTTTTTTTTGAGATTCCTCAATTTAGGGACAGTTTCTCAGGTTTTTGTTGGGCATGTAGAGGCCTCAGAACAGCTGGTGTACCTGTGTATTATGTACCCTAAGCATGAGAGAAGCGAGAAAGAATAGGAACGATTCATTGTTCAGAGCGACCCATAGCGCCCTGGCTCCACAGATTCCCATTTGGTTGCATTCAATTGCTCTAACACCACAGTAATGCGGTGCTTAGTTCGTTTGCCAATTTGCCTTTCAAGCAACAGCTATCTTCCAAGTCTCTGCCAATGCTAGCTTTGTACACCAGCACTCTTTTGACCTGCACCCTGCGCACCGTGGAAGGCACTAGAATCTTCACTAGAAGTGTCGAAGAACACTAGGAGCAAGGACGCTACTAGGGGCTCCTGGCCTTACTACTAGGAACAAGAAGCTACTACAGTTAGGAGCAAAGGGCATCGCTACTAGGAGCAAGGACGCTACTAGGGACTCCTGGCATCGCTACTAGGAGCCATTAAGTTGTAATCAAGCTTGTCGACATAGGACGACATTTGACTCGTGCCAAGGAGAACTCACGGCCTACGAAAAGGCATGCTTTGCAAAGCGTCTTTTGCCCAAGTTCATGGGCTGCGTGAAGGACGCAGTATCTGGTCCAGTGACTTGGTTTGAAGTCGAAGCACCTCAGATTCGACCAGACAAAGGTCAAAACGGATCTCAACGGCTCGCAAGATCTAGACAGACCACCCAGAAATGCATAGATTTGATGAAATCAAGAAACAATAAGAACCATGCATTTCTCAAGAAGCTTAAGGTTCTTGATTTGTGCTCTTGTGGATTGGGCGACGACCAGCTTGTAGCGGTCTTTGCGTTGGGGACCCAGTTCAGTCTATGCACAGCCATGGCGCATCACACTCAATCCAGGAAAACAGTCATTTGGATAGGGAAGAACTTCGGAAAGAACCATGAACAAGACATAACTGTTTGTTAAATCTACTGAAAGAGCAGGAAAAAGGACGAAGAACTAAAGGAAGCAAGAGCACAATCCTTTTACATTGCTTACGCCAGGCTTACGCCTTCTAGGAGAACGGACGCTACTAGGGGCTCCTGGCCTTACTACTAGGAGCAAGGACGCTACTAGGGACAAAGGGCATCGCTACTAGGAACAAGGACGCTATTAGGGGCTCCTTAGGGACGTTTACGTTGGAACTGAGGGATCCCGAGCTGATCCCTTGGCGGCACATCCGTCGCTGGCGCCTTCGGGACGCACGTATGCGTGACCGCGGGGCCTTGCATTTGTCCAAGCTGCTGACGGACCGACCGAAAGGAAATTGGATAGAAAAGGATAGAAACACAAAAAAGCAAAAGAAACCTACTAGCGATCGCCTCCAACCCAATAGGATAGAAAGGGAGGAATGAGAATGGAGAAGAAAGATAGAATGGACTAGCACAAGGAGAGAATGGCCCTGCAGGATGTTGATACACAGCTATCACAAGTAAAAGCATCTAATTAGTAGCCAAGCTTCGCTAAGTGGTGACAGCGGCATTCTTATTGAGTGGCACCTTCTTTTGCAGGAAGTCGAAGCCTTGGATTTGGTGAATAACGAAATTGGCGTGGCAGGACGAAACATCTTCGGAATTTGCACCATGTTTCCAATGATGCAAGATGTCGAAGCCGATGGCCATGCTATCCCTATTGGGTTGGAGGCCATTGCCAGTAGGGTGGAGGCCATCGCTCTTAGGTTGGAGGCCGAACGAGTCTTCGAAGCTTGCCGTGAGGAGCTCGCGGCCTTGCCGATGCACTGGGACGGAGATCCTATGAGCAGCTGCAACGATTAGACCTCTCAGAAGCTCAGAGTGAACAGAGAAAGACGAAGGACCACTGTTGGGCAGTTGTCCTTTCCGGCAAAAGCCTAAAGGGAGGCGATGGCCTCCCACCTAAGAGCAATGGCCCCACCACCCAAAAGATGGAAACAAAGATCGTCGCATCCTGTTGCATCCTAGTAGCAAGGACGCTACTAGTAGCTATTTGCTCCTAGTAGGAATGCCTGGAGCCCCTAGTAGCGTCCTTGCTCCTAGTAGCGATGCCCTTTGCTCCTAGTAGTACAGCAAGGATGCTACTAGTAGTAGCTATTTGCATCCAGATCCTTGGCCGATTCAAAGGATTCCTGGGAGCCTCAAGCCAGTCGCACCGACGCTTTCCTCACATAGCTACACAGCTTGTGGAGAGCATCTCACGGAAGTCGATTAAGTTGACAATATCGCAGAAGATAGCGCATTCTTGAAAAAGACCCAGGTGTTAACTCATCAACTTCCACTGGAAAAAAGAATGCGCTCAGATTCGACTTGAACGTATTTGTTTGAACGACCTTGGAACGAAAGAGTATGGGGCTATCGATCTCGCCCAGTTTGGGGATTGGTTTTATCTTGCGCCCAAGACTTCTCCCAGATCTCGCCTACTTTCTCTCTCTCTCTCTCTCTCTCCCCTCCTCTCCCCCTTCACGCATGCCCAAACTTTGGTGGCAGAATGACTAAAAAGAAGGTCAGGTAAGGGCCCCTTCATGAGGCCCCTCTTAAGGTGCCTTAACATGCCTCAACTAAAGGGACCTCGTTTTTTTCTTTACTTTTCCTTGTGCAGCTAAATGGTTTGAAAAGTGTCAGGGAAGCGGCATTGGCACCTCGCACTTTCTCCTCCACCATACGACATTATTGTCAGTGACCTGACCTACACACAAACTTCAGTCGCATTTCTTGTTTCTCATCATCCTTTTCTATCCAGGCGAACAGCCTCAACGATGATGCTGTATCTTGCCTGGCTGCGGCTTTGAAGAATTGTGAGGGCCTCTTGCGCTTGGATCTGCGGCAAAACTGCATGCAGGCCCATGCTTCAGAATGCAACCACGTCAGCTTAACTTGGGCTCCAGAATATGCTGTTGATTTTTTTTAAAAGGGGATGGAAGAATTATGGGGTTATTCTAACGGTTTCCAGGCTGCAACTGATCCGTGGCTGCATAAAGCTTCAAGAAAGTGGTCAGGACGGACATCACCTGGGCGAGCTTATCGCAGGGCATGGCCAGCTGACTAGGCGAGCAGCTTTCTAGACCATCTCACGACGATACGTTGTGTTCTTGTCATTTCCGGAAAACCATGAACATAGGGCCTCAGTGTAAAATTGCTACTAGGAGCAAGAAGCTACTAGGGGCTCCTGGCCTTACTACTAGGAGCAAGGACGCTCCTACGGGCTCCTGGCATCGCTACTAGTAGCATTCTTGCTACTAGTAACAAGAAGCTACTATATAGTAAGGCATCTTCAAAGGTTTCTCCACGTGAAGTTCAAGCGAACAGGATTTTGCATTGAGGCTTTCACTGCGACGCAACCGCATCACAGGCTCGTCCAACATGCCGCAAGTTTGCATGTGTGAAATCCTTTGCATTGCACCTCTGCACCGCTACGAGCGATGTCCAACCTAGCGATGGCCTCCACTCCTTTGATCTGCTGAGTGGGCGGAAGGACCTGGCATGGCGGCCCTGTTTCGAGGGATACTGGAGAATGCCCGAACAGGCGCGTTGACGGGTCAAAAGTGCACCGTTCCATGGCAGCTTCAAATTGACCTATACCGGTGAAGAGAGAAAAGAATGACAAGAGAAGAAATCAACAAAGAATCAATACAAACAGAGTACCTACAAAAGAATTAAACAAAGATTAAAGGCCACTTTAAGAAGGCCTGTCAAGAAGCTCTTGAATCAAGCTGAGGCGGCCAGTTTGCAGATGTGGATGCAGCTTGGAACCCCATGGCATCTGATGGGATTGTGGCAGCGAAAGCCATGGCGCAAGTCTTTCAGGAGCATGACATTTCCTTACTGGTCACTAGTAACAGGTGCCACGCTAGTAGTAACAGGTGCCACGCTAGTAGTAACAAGTGCCACGCTAGTAGTAACAGGTGCCTTACTAGTAGTAACAAGGACGCTAGTAGTAACAAGTGCCACGCTAGTAGTAACAGGTGCCACGCTAGTAGTAACAGGTGCCACGCTAGTAGTAACAGGTGCCACGCTAGTAGTAACAAGTGCCACGCTAGTAGTAACAGGTGCCACGCTAGTAGTAACAAGTGCCACGCTAGTAGTAACAAGTGCCACGCTAGTAGTAACAAGTGCCACGCTAGTAGTAACAGGTGCCACGCTAGTAGTAACAAGTGCCACGCTAGTAGTAACAGGTGCCACGCTAGTAGTAACAGGTCACTATTCCTCACTCCATCTCACTCCAACCTGGAAACGTCAGAAAACGGGCTGTCAAGGAGTCTGCCACGCTGTACCATTGTGACCTGAGCTATTGCCAATTGGACGCTGCGGCTTGTGCAGCTTTGGGTGATGGCTTGCGGGACAATCACTCTCTCTATGGATTGCACATGGTTGGCCACTTGACCGAACCAGCGCTACTAGGAGCAAGGACGCTACTAGGGGCTCCTGGCATCGCTACTAGGAGCAAGGACGCTACAAGGGGCTCCTGGCCTTACTACTAGGAGCAAGGAAGCTACTAGGTTGGAGGCCATCGCTACTAGTAACAATAAAGCCTTTTAGCATGTCTTTGAAGTTTCGGGTGGAGGCCGTTACTACTTCGCAGTCCACTTCCCAAAAGACCTTGTTCCGTTTTAAGTTGTATTGCTCCTGACAACCAAATGATCCATTTGCATCAAAGTGATGTGGACAAGCCAACAAACATATTTTGCAACGAATACGAGAGGACACAATAGATATCAATAGATGCAGGGACACGATGCATTGAAATGTATACAGACTGATATATGATCCTGTGGTTTGAGTCAGCTTGCTTTGTGACACGCTTGCACTATCTTGCACTCGCACTTTGTTCCAGGCAATTCAGCGGCCATGGACGCAGATGGTTTCTTGATGCCCATGGAGATGAAGACCTCTGAAACAGGCTTGTCTTAGCTTGTCGTTTTGACAGAGTCTTCGTTCGACATGTCTCACTCTTGTCGTTTTGGCAACATGTTTTGAACAAAACATGGTTTGCACTCTGCAAGGATTGCGATTCGGTGACCTTCAGGCTGGCCCAGAGGCGGGAGCTGAACCGTGTCTCCAAAGGGAGTTAATCAAGCAAAGTAACTGAGAAATGGCCACCACCGCACGGGTTTGCCCATCAGCAATTTGAGTATGTTTGAGTGTTGTTCTAGGTTCCAACTCTTCAGTCAAGTCCAAGTTTGGCTTCAACACGTCGAGCAACTGCCATGACAGATTTAGCAGACCAACACACTTTCGAATTGATCACCCTTCGAAGAGAAGATGTCAGAAGAGGTCACAGTCTTCGAAATCAGACTATTCCTTCTTACACAGCAAGGTTTGAAGATGCAGTGTTGTACTGTACAGGCCTTTTTGTCTTATTTTGTGTTATAACAAGTTACACAGCTGCTTCACTGTTCTTCCATTTCAGGCCTTATTGGGAGCTGGCCGAGCTGGCAGCTTTGCTCAAGAGGATGATTTGAAAGGCCGGGATGTCTTGGAGTCTCGGCAGCGCTCCAGAAGAAGCAGCTTTCATCGCTAGAAGGTTGGAGGCCATCGCTGTTAGAATGGTTCTTGCATTTATTTCTCGAAGATGAAAGCAGAAGGCAGAAGGCATCACAAAGCAACGGGCGCTGTGCAATGGTCCAGACAGAAAGGGTCATTAGCCGATTCAGAAACTAACCGATCAGGCAACTACGATTCAGAAACCAAAACAGCCGATTCAGCAACTACGATTCAGAAACCAAAATGGCCGATTCAGCAACTATGATTCAGAAACCAAAACAGTCCGATTCAGAAACCAAAACGGCCGATTCAGAAACCAAAACGGCCGATTCAGAAACCAAACTGGCCGATTCGGAAACCAAACTGGCCGATTCAGAAACCAAAATCGTGCCGATTCAGAAACCAAAACAGCCGATTCAGAAACCAAAACGGCCGATTCAGAAACCAAAACGGCCAATTCAGAAACCAAAGCGGCCGATTCAGAAACCAAAACGGCCGACTCAGAAACCAAGTTAGGCTGTTCAGATGAGTGGGC